AAAAAAAAAAAAAAAAAAAAAAACGGACCTAATATTATAATTGATACTTTTCAATAACACAATTTCGATAGCACAATTTCCGCGGAAAAGCGGAACGATTATAGTGACAAATAGACTTCTGTATTCATTTAAAAAAATTGTATGTTACTTAATTTAATATGAAAGATAAATTATGATAATTATCATAATTTATCTTTCATATTTATATCGCGCGGCCTGAAAAATGCGCTTTAATAATATTAAGAACAATGTGAAGAATATCACTTCGTCGACTAGCCAACAGAGGTCTATAGTTACTCATGCCATTTCTCGCAAGTGCTTGATTACATGTGTAATTATTTATATAGAACTTCTTTCTAACATCTTTCCAGGCGTCTAAGGTAGGCTCCCACTACATTACCTTACTGATGAGTCCAGTAGTGGAAGCCGGGACGAAACGCCAACTCGTGATATTCTTCACAATCTCAGCTTCTCTGAGTTTAAATTATTAATTTAATATTAAATTTTAATATATGTCTTTCAACATATTATTAAGATCTAATATGATGCTATAGGCATCAAAAATTGGTTAAATTGATTCTCAATTTAACTAAGTGATATTACTGTGGTAGTGAATATGCGTCAAGGCTGAAAATCTATCAGCGTCGCGGGGGGGGACTACATACACAGTATATAAAATTCACATTATAAAATAAACATTAACATCCAGTTTTCAAGACTCGAATGGCTTTACACTTTCTGTTGAACTTAATTTAATATAATTTTTATTAATATATGCTTACCTTTTTACCTTATCTATTGAATACAAGCATTTTTATCATCAATAAATAACGTTAAAAATTAATATTTTCTAAATCTTGGTTCCGCTTTTCCGCTCAAATTGTGTTCCATGTAATATTAGGAAACCAAAACAAACGGAACAGAATCCGCGGAAACGCGAAAATCTAGCAAAGTGTAGTTACTATTATTTATGATGAGAAAGCTGTTTAAGGTAGCTAGACCCCAACTATGCAAGTCAAAAACGATGTAAACTATAAATGTAAAAACATAACCTCAATACCAATATGTAAAATCTAATTATAAATAAATAATTAGTCTTATGTCAGTCAAGTATCGAATACATACTAAATTAAATTAATGGAAAGAAAAAATTTACCTAGTGAATAACGTAGTACAGAAATCGTGGCAACGTCGCATTTTATCAGCAAAGCGCATTTATATGTAATATACATATATAACCTACGTGTGCTTCTGTTCTGTCAAAACACACAGGTATGTACATACCTCCGCTGTGGATGGAAACAAACGTAGAGTGTTTTCGTATTTTCTTTAATGTGGTCGTCTCATAAATGCGATGTTGCCGTCTATTCTGTATCGTATGACAATTCCCGAGAAATTTCTGAAGTGTGATTTTTGATCAAGTAGAACTTTTTATTAAACGGTCAATATTTACGACTTTTAAATATGTGATTCTTCATTACTTTAATTACTTCAGGCTCGTTTTTCGTCAAGATCTTGACAGTAGGTTTTGTGCTATAAGAACATTTCTATCGAATCGGAATTTTTTTCGACAACTTTCATCCTGGCTACCATAGTGATATATGGAAAAACACGCGATTTTTGATCGATTATATCTCGGCAACTAAACGGTCAAAATTGTTCAAATTTAACAGACATACGCATTGTTATTCGAATTAGTTATGCTGAAAGTTCCAAAAACTTCTTGAATAATAGGTGTTTAGGGTCTAGCTACCTTAACAATAATACAACGATATCGAACTATCATTAAGCCTATTCTACAATGTTCTTTGTTTTCTGTTTCGTACTTTTTACTTTTTACTTTTTTCCTTTTTGTCACCGTTTTATTAATAATTGTATTTCTTGTTATGTGTTTTATGTTTCTTCTAAAGTTTTTTAACTTTTAAGCTTATTCTACAATGTGCTTTTTGTTTCCTGTATCTTGCTGTTCGTCTCTTGCTTTTTTTATCAAGAAGGCTACAGATAAACAGCAAGAAACAGGAAACAAAAAGCACATTGTAGAATTAGGCTAAAAAATAGCAAACAGCAAGAAACAGGAAACAAAAAACACATTGTAGAATAGACTTAACAGTTACAGAATCGAGATACTGGTCAATATTTATTAATTAATTACTCATGTAACAATGGCCTAACTGAGCTAGGAATGG